AGGGTTTAGGGTTTAGGGTTCAAGGTTCAGGGTTCAGGGTTTAGGGTTTAGGGTTTAGGGTTCAAGGTTCAAGGTTCAGGGTTCAGGGTTTAGGGTTTAGGGTTCAGGGTTCAGGGTTCAGGGTGTAGGGTGTAGGGTAGTTTAGGGCTTTAGGCGTGAAGGTTTAAGGCTGAGGGTCAAGGCCGTCGGGCTTAGGTTGTGAGGGTTTAGGATCTAAGGTTTGAGGCTCTTTTTGTTTGGGCTTGCGGAGGCTTTCACTGTGTCTCCAAGGAGTGCTTTACAGAGGTTTCAACAAAGCATGATAAGCAGATAAATAAAGTCATGAAGGTGGTATATCACAAAAGTGTTTAGAAGGGTTTCATAAGGCCTTTTGGGGTTTGGTGGTGTCTTTTGTAAGTGATCTATAGAGCTGTATAGGTTTTGTAAGGTTGCACAGCGTTTAGTGATGCTTTTCTCGGGCACCTCGATTTCGACGCCGTGAGGTTGAGGGTTCAGCGGCTTCGGGGTCAAGAGCTTAAAGTTTAGGGTTTAGGGATTCAGGACTAAGGGTTTAGCCTCCAGGAATTTGGGGTTTCTTGTTATCGAGTTGAAGGTCGGAGCATTCACAGAAACCCCGAACCCCTCATGCCAACTTCAACGGCCTCAATACTTAGAAGAGGGCTCTTCCAACGGGTCAAACGGGGTTACTATAAGGGTTCTATAGTACAGCTTGAACAATGAGCATAGGGTTTTGGTGTACATTCTAATACGAATACCATAGAGAACCCTGAGGAAATTTTAACGTTTCCAATGCTACACATTTCGTCCCGGGCGCTTCGGCACGCGATTGTGGCGGCTCTCGCGGGGGAGGCCCCGAGAAGGCTTGTCCTTGTATCCGTGGCACTTCTCCTGTGCTGCAACGCCCTAGGCACCAAACCCTGGACCCCTAGAACTCTAGTTCACCCCGTACCACGAAATCTGAACCCAGAACTCAAACATCATCGTGAACCCTTTGCTGTGGGTCTGGTTTGCGACACTTTATGCAGGTTTACATCTGTAGACGTGTCTTCACTCTTGTCCTTGCCGTTCCTAATTGCTTATCGTCTTACCCTGCCTTGTCAGCCTCGCGCTGATACAGCACCAGCAGCAGCCCTAGCACCGGCAGGGGCACTAGCAACGGCAGCGGCACTCATACTCCTCATGGTCGCGGCGGTTGTCGTCGTCGCAGTAGTAGGTAGGGGTAATGCTCGTTGTGGTGGTAGCAGCAAGCAATACAAGCAGGAGGCAGAGGAGGAGGAGGAGGAGGAAGAGAAGCTGCAGCAAGAGGAATTGCGCTAGCACCCAGTCTACTGCAAAAGCCACCCGTTGCATCATCGCTGCTGGCACTTCTCTCACCAAGATTCTGTCACTCTCGCTACACCGTTACTTTGGCGAAAACTGGTAGGTAATGTTACCGCTACACCTCCTCCTCCTCCTCCGCCTCCTCATCCTCCTTGAAAGTATACCTTGCGGTCGTGCTGCAGTTTAAGTACTGTTTCTTCATGCTACTTCTGCCGCTTGTAGTGTAGTGCTATCTTTACACTTGTCTGTCTGATCCGGGTGTGCCTGTGTCCGGGTCACCTTCCGAGTTCCAGGGGCTCGCTACGCAAAGAATTCATCTACGGACAGTGCCGCCCACAGTCTACACCTCCAGCATCATACCACGTGTCAACCTCTATTTTCTGCAGCATTGAAAGACGCCAGAAGAGAGGTTGCAAAAGGATGCAGAAGAGGCTGCAGAAATAGTGGTTGCTTCTTGGCCCAGCCCCGGGATCTCCTTTGCGGGCTCAGGCCAAAAAAAAACAAGCCCTGAACCTGATGCTCACGTGCGTCCTGCGACCATTGTGACGGTGATGGCATGGGGGTATTGAAAGGCGAGCCATCGTAGCCCATCGAGGCATTCACGTTCTCGGCCTGAGCCGACGACTTCTTGTGCTTTACGCTGGGGGAAAGCATGTAAACACCACGCATACTGAGAAAAGTCCCAGGTTTGCAACCATGGTAAAAGAGCACACCCGCCTTGAAACTGCGATTAACAACAATGTCTTGGTGACTCAACACTTGTTGGTGATGCACGCACAAATACTGAGTTCTGAAACTAACACGACTATCAACATATTATATCGGTTGCAACGATCTGATACTAACACCAGTGCTGATATTGATCATCGTCGTCGTCGCTGACGACGTCTCCCACACGAAACGGAAACCATCGTCGCAGTTCTGGTTGTAATCGCTGTGGTCGTCGAAGTACGTCGTCAACGTCGTCATCGTCGCGGTGGTGGTCGTCGTCGTCGTCGTCGTGGTTGTCTGTTCCTCGTCGTCGTCCTCCTCGTCGTCATCGAGGGAGGGTGGATGGTGCTGGTGTGCGTGTGCATGCGTGCGTGCACCTGACCGTCCCCGAGCATATGTGCATACATATTATCTTTCGGCCTGATTGTTGCCGGTGTATGTGCGCGCTTGTGTCCCTGTGCGATTGTGGGTTGGTATGCATTGGCTCGTCGTGCGTATATACGTATGATGTACGCCTTTGCAAACATACTTCCGCTCATTGATCTGCTACACCATGGCCCCAAACCCTCAACCCTAAACCCCATGGACCTGTCTCCAAATTCGAGTGTGCACATTCCTTTCCACCGACCGGCATATCGTTGCCGCATGAACATCGACGGTGAGCCTGTGTCTCTGCCTGCAAACCCTAAACCCTAAACCCTAAAACCCTTAAACCCTAGACCCTTAAACCCTAAAACCCTAAA